CTCTCTTTCTTTTGACGGAGTCTTACTCTGTTGCGCAGGCTGGAGTGCAATGGCGCAATCTCGGCTCACTGCAACCTCTGCCTCCCGGGTTCAAGTGATTATTCTGTCTCAGCCTCCCAAGTAGCTTGGACTACAGGTGCACACCACCACACCCAGCTAATTTTTGTATTTTTAGTAGAGATGAGGTTTCAGCATGTTGGCCAGGATGGTCTCTATCTGTTGACCCCATGGTCCACCCGCCTCGGCCTCCCAAAGTGCTGGGATTACAGGTGTGAGCCACCATGCCCAGCTACCCAGTTAATTTTTTTATTTTTTGTAGAGACAGGATTTCACTATGTGCTCCAGGCTGATTTTGAACTGGACTCAAGCAATCTTCCTGCCTTGGTCTCCCAAAGTGCTGGGATTATAGGTATGAGCCACCATGCCTGGCCTTTGAATTTCTCCTAATCTGTAGTCACCCCACCCCACCGCCCTGCTTTTTTTTTTCTTCTCCTTAAGACTGGAGATTGTTTTGAACATTTCTTCAGTTTCGGTTAGAAAGGGTTTGTTCGAGGCAGATGGCCTTTTGCTAGTTTCAGTCTTTTCCTCCTGGCTGTGGTTGGCAGGTCCCAGCCCTTTATAGTCCTGGGAGGTGAGCAGCTGCAGAAACCACTGTGCCCCTGTTTGTCCCAGCGGGGAAGGGCCCGGTCTGAACCCTGGCCTGGCTGGCTAGACTAGCGTTTCCTGACTGTGAATGGGTGGGTTGTGGAAAGGGGATCACTGTCATTCAAACATGGGGTCTTGAAGGGTGCCCCTGTGACCTGGCACTCTTGGAGAGGCCTGGAGGGGATGTGAGCTGAAGGGGCTGTAAGGAAGGTAGGCACTGAGGCCTTCCCAACACTATGGGGTTGGGAGACTAGGTGGCCAGTAAGTGGGGCTTTGGGACTTTGCTGAGGTCAGGGTGCTGAGCAGGGCTGCAGAATCAGCACCCAGGGTCGGATTCACTATTGGTCTGATGGGAAGGTCTCCTTAAACGCCCCTGGGTAGAGGGAAGCTGCAGCACTTCACCAGAACTGGGATAGAGAGGAGGTTTCAGACAACAGGATGATAAAAAGCAACTTGTTTTCCCTTTGGAATGGCAGAGAAGCCTTTATCCACCTGAATTCTTTTTTTTTTTTTTTTTTTTTTTTAATTTCCTAGAGATGAGGTATTGCCCTGTTGCCTAGGCTGGAGTGCAGTGGAACAGTCGTGGCTCCCTACAGCGTTGAACTCTTGGGCTTAAGCCATCCTCCCACCTCAGCCTTCCAAGTAGCTAGGACTCTAGGCATGTACCTATAACCTCAGCTAACTTTTTTTGTGTGTAGCGACAGAGTCTCACTGTGTTGACCAAGCTGGTCTCTAACTCCTGGTCTCAATCCATCCTACCACCTCGGCCTCCCAAAGTGCTGGGATTATAGGCGTAAGCCACCACACCAGGCCTGAATTCTTATTTAACAACTAAAAGTCTAGAAGTTCTACTTCCGAAACATCCTTCAGTTCCATAGACTGGACAGTTGAGAATAGTTGGATGGAAAGAAGAGAGGAAGGCAAGAGAGAGGTAGGGCAGGGAGAGGAGAGTTGAGCAAAGGAGGAAAAGAAAGTGAATTTCTGCTGCCTCCTGGGTGTCTGGTAAACAAACAACAAGTAGATTGAGTTGGGGGCTGAAAGGGGCAGGCAGAAAGCCTTCTGAGAAGGACCTGAAGTGCCAATCAACAAAATAGTCTGAAAGTCACAGGTATATGAAGGTGAGGACAGTTCTTATCCCTGTCCTCGGATTTACAACTAGCTTTTAATGTACTGTTTTAAGTTGTTAAGACTATTGTTTATTTTGAAATTAGCAGCAGCTCTGTTCTGCATGGGATGCAGGACAGACAGGGTATTTTTTGGCTGTGTTATGTTTTTATTATTGTTACTGGCTGTGACCCTAACAATACTGCATATCTTTATTATCATCTATAAAATGGTGATAATACCTACCTTTCAGGGCTGTGGAAATGAAATGATGCTATATGAAAAAGTGTCTGGCCCATACTAAACCTTCAACAAATATTAGTGCCTCTTTTGCAGTCAGTCACTCTTATGGTTTAGAGATATGTGGTGAAGGATCAATTTTGTTTTGTTTAAATTCCCAATCTGGCCAGGCACAGTGGTTCACATCTGTAATCCCAGCATTTTGGGAGGCCGAGGCAGGCAGATCACTTGAGCCCAAGAGTTCGAGACCAGCCTGGCCAACATGGTAAAACCCCGTCTCTACCAAAAATACAAAAAATTAGCTGGGTATGGTGGCGTACGCCTGTAGTCCCAGCTACTCAGGAGGCTGAGGCAGGAGAATTGCTTAAACCCAGAAGGTGGAGATTGCAGTGAGCTGAGATCATGCCACTGCACTTCAGCCTAGGTGACAGAGACCCTGTCTCAAAATAAATTCCCAATCTGTTATGCTCCGATACTTTCATAAAGTGCAATAAAAATGAATTACTAGAAAAATAAAAGAAAAATACACAAAATACTACCTCCCAATTTTTTAGTATTAGATTTCAACAGATTTAAAATTACTCTGTCAAATTTCTAAAGGTGTACTCTTAAGTTTCTGCACTCATCTCCTTGGAATTGGATCACAAGCATTGAGAGACCCGCACCAGGCCATGGCCAGCCGCACTTGGAGCAGCCCAGGTCCAAAGGGGCATGCTCTGGGGAGGAAGCTGGTTTCTTTGGTGTGAAAGCACCCAACCAAGCAGCTCACCCAAGCGAGGAGCTCTGGTCCGGGCAGGTGGATGGCAGAGTGCACGGGATGGCCGCCGATGGTGCTGTGTCTGGTCGCACGGTCACCCAAGGGCGCGAGCCCTGCCAGTGCACAGAGGAAAGGGGGCAACGAGGCAGGGACCAGCTGGGGGGCATGGCCAACGTCCTGAGGGGTTCATTTCCCTCTTTAGGCTCTGACTTCAAACCCCACCCCTGGCTTTACAGAGGCAAAGCAGGCTAGAAGCAGGGAGCAACTTTCCCTAAGGCCCACAGCTCTGGAATGCGGCTCTGACTGACTGGGTCTATGGGGATGTGCAAAAATAATTTTAATGTATGTTACCAAATTACTCTAGAGATTCTACCAACTTATAGTCTGCCAGCAATGAATGATAGTTTGAACCAGGTACTTTTTGGACCATTTCCTCAAAATGTTAATTTTAAAAGTCATGAGGTACGTAGCAAAGGATCCCATAACAGGTGCCTTCAGAACGAAAACCCCCTGCGATGGTGTTCTCAGGATTCTGAGCTTTAGAATCATTCTCTGTGGGGAATCTCCCTTATGATAAGACATTCGTCTTCAGAGGCATGAAGTTTTTTGTGTTTTTCTAAAGACGGGGTCTCCCTGTGTTGCCCAGGCTGGTCTTGAACCCCTGGGCTCAAGCGATTCTCCCACCTCAGCCTCCCAAGAAGCTGGGACTACAGGCATGCACCACGGTGCCCGGCTAAGGTGTGCAGTTTTGGACCAGTGGCTATGAGATGTTAGCAAACTGTGATATCCTGCGAGTGAGGAGGGAATGGCAGCCCTGTACATCTGAGAACACTGTCCTGGTAGCAAAAAGAGCACTTTGAAAAAGATGGCACCAAGCAGGCATTCGTAGGGACATTTTTGGACTGGCACTTAACTCTCAATCCTGATGGCTTCCCTGTGGGGTAGTTGAGAGATCCGATTCACTCAACAGGTATTTACTCAGTGCTTATATTGAATGGTGGGCCTGCTCCTCACCCCAGTTGTTGGGAGGGGCAATGAGCATAGCCACCCAAGAACCATGGTGAAACCACCCTTGACCTCAGACCCTGCACACTGAACACCCGACTCCCATGCTCGAGCCGCCTCTGCTGTAGGTAGCAGGAATCTGGTGGTCACAAGGTGAGCTTTCAGTGTGGTAAAGGGAGGCAGCAAATAAACCAAGCCGTGTATTATTTTTATTTTTATTTTTATTTTTATTTTTTGAGACAGAGTCTCACTTTGTTTCCCAGGCTGGAGTGCAGTGGTGCGATCTTGGCTTACTGCAGCCTACACCTCCCGAATTCAAGCAGTTCTGCCTCAGCCTCCCGAGTAGCTGTGATTACAGGTGCCCATCATCATGCCCAGCTAATTTTGCATTTTTAGTGGAGACAGGGTTTTGCCATGTTGGCCAGGCTGGTCTCAAACTCCTGACCTCAAGTGATCTGCCTGCCTTGGGCTCCCAAAGTGCTGGGATTATAGGCGTGAGCCACCGTGCTCACTAAACCAAGCAGTATAAAACCACCTACTAGGTGGTGAGGGATGCAAATGAGCTACCCTCATTTGCAGGTATACCCTATATGTGAGAGAACTCCAGAAAATGCAGAGGTATTAAACATGTTCGAGGATTTGCCTTGGCGACAAGTAGATCTGCTTCCCACCTAACTCTACCGTGGCTGCCAGGTTATCCTGAGTCATGTCAAATTGCCTTAAAAATGGAATGGTGCAGTGGCTGATGCCTGTAATCCCAGCACTTTGGGCAACTGAGTCAGGAGGGTCACTTGAGCCTGGGAGTGCCATGATCATGCCACTGCACTCCCACTTGGGTGGCAGAGTGAGACTCCGTTTAAAACAAACAAACAAACAAACAAAAACACTTAAAAATGGAGAAAACCAATTATGGTTACATAGAAATTAGCAGCATGTGAAAGTACATTATTAAGCCACTTCATGTATTTTTCCTCTTCAATCATTTGAGGAGAATTCCTTCTTGGTTTAAGAACTTATTATCCACAGCACAGCGTGCGTATGACTTTGTCCCTTATTTTAAATTCTGAAATTCTGGGAATTTGTCCCCAGGTCCTGGGAACTCTGTATTCCCAACCATTAAACTACAGCAGAAAATAAATCCAAAGGGGCAATTTGTATTGTAATCGTGGTAGAATGCCTGTGTCTTTTCTTTAAAGGCTGTTGAAATTTATGGAAAATGTGCCTTTATTTTCTCAGACCTGAGCCGTTCATGTACCTGGTAGGGGTGGTTGGGTGGGTCCAGGAAGGAGTGTGCACTGCCCTCCATTATCCGCCTTGTTCAAGGGATTGCTGCTCTGATCCCTGCTTTGCTTTGCAGATGACTTTGGGAAATTGCTGCTGGCTGAGGCCCTCCTGGAGCAGTGTTTGAAGGAGAATCATGCCAAAATAAAAGACTCCATCCCTTTGCTGGAGAAGAATGAGCCGAAGATGAGCGAAGCCAAAAATTATCTGAGCAGTATCCTTAACCATGGGAGGCTCACGGTAAGTCATCGGCCTTCAAGCGTGAGACCTCCTCTCCTCATCTGCGTTGCCTCCCATCTGTGCAGTCCTCCCTGAGTCATTTGGTCACCTGAGCAACAAGTCTCTCTTACAAGCTGCCCTTACACTTACAGTAGCCACTGGCTACATGTGGCCCCTTGAGCACTTGGGGTATGGCTAGTCCACATTGAGATGTGCTGTAAGTATAAAACATACACAAGGTTTCAAAGTCTTAGTACAAAACAGAGAATATAAAAGAGCAGTAACTTTATGTTGATTACATGTTCAAATGGTATATTTTGGATATATTGAGTTAAAGAAAACGTTATTAAAATTAATTTCACCTTTTACCTTTCTCAGTGTGACTAAAAATAATCTTACTAGAAATTTTTAAATTACACATGTGGTTCACATTTGTGGCTTACATTATATTTCTGTTGGACAGTGCTTGGTTGACTTAATATGTGCCTGGCCCGTCGGGCACGGTAGCTCACGCCTATAATCCCAGCACTTTGGGAGGCCGAGGCGGGCGGATCACGAGGTAGGAGATCAAGACCATCCTGGCAAACACGGTGAAACCCCGTCTCTACTAAAAATACAAAAAAATTAGCCGGGCATGGTGGTGGTCGCCTGTAGTCCCAGCTACTCAGGAGGCTGAGGCAGGAGAATGGTGAGAACCCGGGAGGTGGAGCTTGCAGTGAGCCGAGATTGCACCACTGCACTCCAGCCTGGGCGACAGAGCAAGACTCCAACTCAAAAGAAAAAAAATATGTGCCTGGCCCTCTGGGCTCCTTGGGTCAGGGGGCTCTCAGGGAAATAAAACTTCAGGGAACCTGTGACCTAGTTAAAAACAGGCAAACATGCAGAGTTGGCTAGGGACAGAAGAGCTCCATAACAGGGCAAGCCCATTTAAGTCCACATGCAAAAAAAAAAAAAAAGTCCACGTGCATTTATCAAGCACCTACTGAGTACAAGACACTGAGGGAAGTAGAGGACCCACCTCTCCCTCCCAGAAGGAGTATAGTCACAACTTTCTCTGGACTTTGCTGTTCAAAATGTGGTCCACCCACAAGCAGTGTGGGCATCATTGGGGAGCTGGTTAGAAATGCAATTAAGAATTAGAATCTGCGTTTTAACAAGCTCTCCTGGTGATTCATATGTGCATCCAAGTTTGAGGCTGTGGCTGTTCTAGATTACAATGTATCCTTAGCTATAATAGTGGCATGGGTATGTCATTAGAAACTCAAAGAGGAGGGGGAGGGGGTAAAAAAAAAAGAAAGAAACTCAAAGAGGAAGTGATCCCTCCCTCCCTTCTTCCCTCCCTTCCTTCCTTGCTTCCTTCCCCCCCTACCCTTTCTTTGTGTCTGTCTGTCTGTCTTTATTTTCTTCAGGGTCTTGCTGTGTTACCCAGGCTGGTCTCCAACTCCTAGGCTCAAGCAATCCTCCTGCTTCAGCCTCCCAAAGCATTGGGATTACAGGAGTAAGGCACTGCACCCAGCTGATTTTTAAAGAGATATTCCAAAGTAATATATTCACTTCCTTAAACCTTTTATTCCAACGTACTGTGTGCAAGGCATTGTGTTGTGCACTCTGAGGGCAATCAAGACAAATCTAGTGTGGACCCTGCCCTCAAAGAGGCTGCAAGTCTCTTGGGAAGATAAGTCCTGTCAGTAAGTAAATAGCCTTCCTCCAAGGTGGACCATGATAGGAGTGTTATCCACGAGGAAGCAAGTCTGAGGGGGATGCTCTTTGAGGGTAAGCAGAGAGCAGACTCCGGGTAATGTAGTACTAGAATTGGATGCCTCTGGGGCTGGATCTAGACAAGGTTGTAAAGGTACTTTGGGGCTAGGAAGGGCAGACTGGAACACCAGGCCAGGATGTGCAGAGCTTATTCTGTAAGGGAGGGAACGGGAAGGGACAGGGGAGAGGAGAGTGTGTACTAGAAGTTTAAGGTTACTGCTTTTAGGCTCCTTGACAGGTATTGTAGCACTGGGAGGTTTGTATTGGGTTAAAATAACTGCCTGACCGTGAGCATGTCCGTTGACCCCACAGACCTTCCAGTTTGTCATCTGCTGGTCAAAAGGGTTGGACCAGATTGATGGGGTTCAAGCTTTTCCCATCAAGACCTCTTTAATTAAATGTTAAATGTTTAAAAATTGTTTCAAAAATAAACATGATTCAGGCTTATTGTAAAAATTCCAGTCAACAAATAAGTAATTTGAGTGATAAATAAAAGTCCCAACTGGCCTATGACTTACGCCTGTAGTCTTAGCACTTTGGGAGGCTAAGGCGGGAGGATTGCTTGAGCAAGGAGTTTGAGATCAGACTGGGCGACATGGTGAGACCCCATCTGTACAAAAATTTTTTTTAATTAGCTGGGCATGGTGGCTTGCATCTGTGGTCCCAGCTACCCAAGAGACTGAGGCTGGAGGGTCACTTGAGCCCAGGAGGTTGAGGCTGCAGTGAGTTGTGTTCATGCCACTGCACTCCAGTCTGGGTGACAGAGCAAGATCCTGATCTCTAAAACCTGGTCTAGCTCAGTTGTGTGGAGATCAGCAAAAACAAGCCACTTGTCCTAAACTCTGTTTTCCACTAGGTTGAGGCTTTGCACCATCCCATGTAGGCCTCCAAGGAACCTTCTGCAATGGTATTTACTATTAGCCCCATTTCTTTTTGTTTTCTTTTTCAATTTTTTGTAGAGACGGGGTTCTCACTGTGTTGGTTGGGGTGGTCTCAGATTCCGGGTTTCAAGCGATCCTCTTGCCTTGGCCTCCCAAAGTGCTGGAATTATAGGCATGAGGCCCTGTGCCCTGCCAAGCCCCATCTCTGAGACCCAAGAACAGTGATGACAACCCACGCCTTTGGTGTCTACAGCCCATGCTCTAATGCTGTCTCTCACTTCTTGGTGCTGCCTCCTAAAGTACTGGGGTGGAAATAAAATAATGACTAAGAAAGTTGGGGCCGGGCGTGGTGGCTCAAGCCTGTAATCCTAGCACTTTGGGAGGCCGAGACGGGCGGATCATGAGGTCAGGAGATCGAGACCATCCTGGTTAACACGGTGAAACCCCGTCTCTACTAAAAAATACAAAAAAAACCTAGCCGGGCGAGGTGGCAGGCGCCTGTAGTCCCAGCTACTCGGGAGGTTGAGGCAGGAGAATGGCGTAAACCCGGCAGGCGGAGCTTGCAGTGAGCTGAGATCCGGCCATTGCACTCCAGCCTGGGTGACAGAGCGAGACTCCGCCTCAAAAAAAAAAAAAAAAAAGAAAGTTGGATTCATGTGACGGATGGTGATCACACCCCTACTTTTATAGTTCCCACGTTAGTCTGTGAAGTATTTCCTCATCCGTTCTTTCCTCATACCTGGGTATCTCCATGAAGTCCTTTTTCCCTTTTTATTGACAGGGACAGTGAGGCACAAAAGGAGTAGGTGATGCACTGATCCACACAGTAGAGGGGACTGTTCCCCTGGTAAAGCGACCTCCTGCGTGGCACCCTCCCGCTGGGTGAGGGTTCCGTTCCCTGACTATTGGACTGATAGACCAAAAACATTTCATATCCACAGGCATGGGTCCCACGGAGTGCAGCGGACTTTTCATGCTGCCAAGTAAGGACATTAAAAAGCAAGAAATAGCAGCAAAATGATACCATCTTCTGCTCTTACTGTGCCATAACAGAAAAACAGCTTAGCATTGAAGGGCAAGGTAGATATCCTTTCAGAACTAAGAGCTGTTTTTTTTTTTTCAGACGACGGAGTCTCGCTCTGTCACCCAGGCTGGAATGCAGTGGCACGATCTCGGCTCACTGCAACCTCCACCTCCCGGGTTCAAGTGATTCTTCTGCCTCAGCCTCCCGAGTAGCTAGGGTTACAGGCGCGTGCCACCACACCCGGCTAATTTTTGTATTTTTAGTAGAGACGGGTTTTCACCATGTTGTCCAGGCTGGTATCAAACTCCTGACCTTAGGTGATCCGCCTGCCTCGACCTCCCAAAGTGCCGGGATTACAGGCGTGAGCCATCGTGCCCGGCCGAGCATCTTTTTAAATAGTGTGAATGTGGCTTTATAAAACATGCCCTGCATTGTCTAATTTTTCCCCAGCTTGGTGGAAGCTCTGTTGTAAACTGCCACTGGTCCTCCATGAACCACCGCTAGCCACACGCCATCAGCATGCCTGAAATGTCCTTCTGTGCCTCACTGCCCTTGTCTCCATGTACAGGATAATGATAATTACACATACCCTGTATTTATCTTGCTCTTTTCCAAAGAAAAGTTCAAAGCTCTTTTCTGGACTTTACCCTATTAATGTCCTCAGCATCGCTGTGATAGGCGGTGAGGAGTAGGTGTTATTATCTCTCCCTCACCCACGAGGAAGACGCAGCCCGAGCAGGGAGGAAATGAGCCCATGGCTAGAGACCAGTGCAGGGAACGCAGAGTCACTGCCCAGCCTGGAAGGACTATAGGCTGCATACCTCTGGGATGTGTCATCTGTGGCCCTGGCCCAGGGAGTGGGTGGCCTATCTGAGGAGACTAGCAAATCCCCTCAAAAGATTCAGCTTTGGAGAGTTAATTAATAGAGAGAGTAGGTCAGGCGTGCAGAGGCTGAATGGGCTCATTGGTAGAGGCATTGGAGGAGTTCAGCTGAAGGGAGCTCCCTGGTAGTCGGGGAGGCTTTCCGGAGAAGGTGGGCCTGAGCAAGTCCCCAAAGGATGGAAGAGGATCTGGTTAGGTTAGGGTGAAGGGAACCTGAGGAAGCACAGGCAAAAGAGGAATGTGGACTCACAAAAGCCAGAAGGATGAGTGGGGAAGGAGAATTTGGCTTCCCTGGAGCCTGTCTGTGCCACGCTCCATTTCTCTTGGCTTCTGAGAGGGCAGTAGATGGTAAGGAGTGCTGGAGGCTTGCCCTGGGGTCACAGGGACCCCAGACTCTTACCTCTTTGCAGGGAGTCTGGGGCAGCACCTTCCTGCCAGTGACAGATGCCAGGAGTGGGACCAGAGCTGCATCTTTGGGGAGCTTTATGGACAGATTGGTGCCTGTGTGGCAGGAGCAGTGCCCAGGGCCTGGCCCGTAGGCATTGTGAGCCAGCTGAGGACAGAATCAGAGGCAGCGGACCAGAACAAATGGCCTGAAGAGGTGGGAGGTCACAAGGAGAACTGGGGCCATGTCCAAGATCAGAACACATGCGCCAGGATGGCACAGCCCAGGGCCAGCACAGCCTCCCTCAGGCAGCAGCACAGGAGCCCAAGCCAGAGTAGGGGTGATCAGGGCTGTCCAGACCACTGCAGGCCCTAAGGGAGGCCCTGAGAGTTCCTCTGTGGGGTGGAGATTGAGATATAAGCAGCTTTTGAAAAAGGAGGGAAAAGAAACCAGGTTTAAATTCAGCCACTCTTGGCCTCTGTGATTCTGCACTTTGACCCATTTCTGATAGGAAGAGGATGGTGACGCAGCAGGCCCTCTCCTCCTCAATCTGTCCCTCCACCACTGTTGGGGAAGGCATAAGCCTCCCCCACAGGCTGTTTCTGAGGCCTTTTACCTAATTATGATTTGCGTATACATGTACACAAGAGGACCCCCAAAATGAGAAGCCTGGGGCTCCACAAAACTTAGCTCCATCTCTGACTCTCCACTTGTGTTTAGAATAAATGCCTGAGCTTCTGAGTGACCCCCATGGGCTGCAGTCTTTGGGGGGCTTCAGGAGAGGGAAGACAGGGCCTAGTCTGCAAGGTCTCTGGAGTCTTGCTGGGGACATAAAACGCACACATTTGAAACGCACACATTTGAAACGCACACATTAGGAACTCATATGAGAATTTCTTTGAGAGCCATGATGTAGGCTATGGACCATGGGTGAGAGTGGGGATCATGTGCTTAAGCATCAGGGAAGGCTTCCTGAAGGAGTGGGGGGAGTTCTGAGCAAGGTCTGAGGCAAACAGGGTCAAGGTTCAGTGGGGGGTGTTCACCCCAAGGTGCCTTTCGGGGAGGTGCTGCTAACATGTCCTTGTCTTTTCAGCCACAGTACATGTGTGAGGCCATGCTGATCCTGGGCAAACTGCATTACGTGGAGGGCTCGTACCGAGATGCCATCAGCATGTACGCACGGGCCGGGATCGATGACGTGTCCATGGAGAACAAGCCCCTGTATCAGATGCGGCTGCTGTCGGAGGCTTTTGTCATCAAAGGTAGCTGTTAGTGCCAGCCTGGGCTCCCCTCCACTGTGTGCAGCTCATTGCACTCTGACTCCCAGGGCCCTGCTGGGCTTGTGTCCAGATTCTTCCCCCCTGGTAGTGCCCATGCCCTGGTACTGGTGTCCAATGTGGATGCTGGTAGTAACTGGCCATGTTGACATTGCCTGGTGCCTGGGACATCAGGAGACTCAGATTCTCGCCCTGGCTCTGTCAACAACGATTACCCTACTGTGTACCCTTGGGCAATCACCTCTTCACCTTCTTTGGCCTCAGTTTACTTGTTTGGAAGATACGGTTGTAATACCTGCCCTCCCAGGGTTACCATGACCAAGAGGCATCAGCGGAGTTGTGTAGCCAGGTTGAGAAAGGTTTACAAAGTATGACCTCTCACTGGCAGGCTGGCTCTGCTGACTGGCGCTGGCCCAGAGCAGGTGCTGGGCGCTGTAGGAGTCTGCTACTCCTCAGTTATTTGTTGGGCGCCTGCCGTGAGTGGCCCAGGGAGCAGGGGCTGAGACCCAGCGATGAACAGTTCAGAACCGGTTCCTGGAGGAGCTCTCAGCCTTCCAGGGACAAGGGGTGCTCGGGAGGGGATTTAGGGACACAGATCAATGATGTAGGAATTTCATGAGGGGGCTGTGGACAGCCCAGCTGGGGAAACCATGCCATTTAACAGGACCCCAAACGTGTTCAGTGTTACAGTCATCCTACCCCAAACTTTGTGCTTCAGGCTCCTTCTTCACTGGATCCCTGGCTGCGGGAACCCCTGTGCCCAGCCTGCTGTCAGGAATCTTGGATGTTTGATCATCTCCCTAGTGCCGCACAAACCAACCCCCAGAGAAAAGTCTAGAAAAGATGGCTGTGGCTCAGTGGGGATTTGGTGCCTGACATTTGTAGAGTATGTGACACCCTCTATTATAGATAGGGACATTCTCTCCATCTTATATGTGGGGAAACTGAGGCCCAGAGAGGATAACTTGCCCAAAGTTACCCAGATTAATGGTGGAGCCAGTACAAGAACCTCCATGCTCTGACTCTGGCCTTGGAACATGAGTCCTCCAAGGCCCCTGCAATACACACTCAGTTTCCCCTGTCTCCCCTGGGTCCCAGGAGGAGTGACTGTGACATCTGTGGAGGGCACACCCTCCTTGACTCTGGCTGGTGGGACTTCCTGAGGGGGTTTGCCCACCCCAGATCCTTGGATCCCTTTTCCATTGGGTCCACACCATGCCAGGAAACCTGGCAAGATGGTCACTGTGGGTGGACCCAGCGCCAGCCGGTGGGAGGGCAGGTACGTTTCTGGGACGGCCTGGTCTATGGGTGGTCTTCTCCGTTTGCTCTCTCATCCCCCGCTCTGCGCCTCTGGCACAGGCCAGCCTTGGGGGTGATCTGCATTTGGCATTTGGGTCTTTCAGGTCTCTTAGAAACCCTTTCAGCCATGGACGCCCTGAGCGGAACCCCCTTCCTCGGGCTTCCTTTCTGGGACTTTCTCCTGAGCCTGGCTCAGGACGGATTGCCCCCTGTCTCCTGCTCTCTCCTCTTTCTAGCATGCCTCCAGCTTCTTGGGGGAAACACAGTCCCGGTGGTCAGAGGTTCTGCAGGGGAGGTAAGGAGCCGGGCGCTGCCGGCGCGGGCTGCTCGGTCGCGGGCTGTGCTAGCTCCCGTTCCCCAGTGACTGCACATGGCCTTCCCTTTGCCTGCCTCCTCTCTGCCTGTCCTCCTCCCTGTCCTGCTGCAGTGACCATGCCTGCTGCCCGGCATGCTGAGGTTTGCCTGACCCTGCGTGTGCTTGAGACCATGCACGTGGCTACCAGGGTGTGCACGATGTTGATCTGCCTGGGTTTGGGGGATTTGGTGGGTCTTCCCATGCAGAGTAGAGGCCACACCCTTCAGGGGCTGAGGATGCTGGTCGTTGGTCCTGACTCCATCTGTGAGCATGAGGGTGGTGGCAGCAGGGGCCACAGAGTTCACAGAATGCTGATATTTATTCAGCCCCCCTCCATGCCAGGTAGACCCTCGTTGAGTCCCCTCTGTAACCCTCTGAGGTGGTGTTCCCCTCATTCTATGTCACGGATGAGGAGTTAAGGTTGGAAGAAGTGAGGTGATTCATGCGAGGTCTCACAGGAAGTGGCGGAGGCGGGATTTGAACCCAGGCAGCTGGAGCTTGTGATACTGTTGCTGAGAATCCTAGGATGAAAGGAATCAAGTGATCCAGGCCAACCCCTCATGTTACAGTTGAGGTAACTGAGGCTGACAAAAATGAAGCAGCTTGCCCAGGACATCAGTTAGCGTGTATTTGAACTGGAGTCCTCCGTCCCAGACAGCCACTCGATCTTGGGCTCCATTTGATGCTGGGCAGCCTGCAGGAGCCAGACTGACCCACACTCAGCACTCCTGGCCAGACTATTACGCCATGGCTTGACTGGCCATTTTTCACAGGAATCTGCTCTGTGGTTCTGTTTGGTACTCTCTAGTGGGGTGGGGAGTCTGGGTCTCAGGCACACCTGACTGGAGGAGGAGGACAGGGCCTGTGTGTCACAGAGGGGCCTGAGCTTGCCAGACTGGGAGGCTCTGTGGGGGCCCCAGTGTGGAGCGATTCCAACATGGAGCTGCTGTTCTTTTTAGGGGATTCAGAAACAGGCCCTGGGTCTCTTCACCCCCACCCTCAAAAGACATAAAAACACATTCCCCTCACCCTCTTTCCCCATCAGAGTAGAGGGACTTGCACTGTGACCCTGTGAGACGTCACTCACAAAGGCCCGGCCTTCCTCTGAAATGTGCACCCTTGTATTACACCCAAAGATGCGTTCTGATTCCCGGGAAAGCTTTAGATGTCAACCCAGGAGCCTGAGTGAAGAGGCAGTTGCAGCAGTCTTGGGTTTTCATTAGCCAGAGTGCAGAGACATCACATGCATATTTGTGTATATAAGGTGTAGGGGAGTACATGACCTCCACCTCCTCTGAGGGGAAAAGAGTTATTGTCCATGTCACGTCTGTTTAGAAACAATAGAAAAACCACATGTTCCCCACTAAGATAGAAAAATAAGACAACTTCATGGGAAGACCTGTTGTTTCCATGTCCAGGTGGTCTGTGCCCAGCCACCAGCACTCCTGGTCCCGTAACATTTGAGTCACACATGTGTTCAGACTGACCAAGTCCAGCCAGGAGTAGGAGACTGGATTTTAGGGCCTCTTGGTAACCTGGGAGGTGGGCTGGGCCCTGCTGGAGGCTCTGGAAGAAAAACCACCTCTTCCCTGGTCCTGCCTTCAGCTGCTCCTGGCTGCAGAGAAGTCGTCATGTTGACCTGTTACTCAGTAATGCCCTATCCTGTGGCCAGCTGCTCCCAAGTCACCTGTGGCCCCGGGCAGAGCCTCCCCTGCCTGTCAGAATCCCCTGTTTGGTTCTTCATTTCCCAGGTACCAATTTCCTGAGCTCCTCTTGTACACCTCATGTTTGATGGCATTCCCAGAAACGTGGGGTGCAGACCCCTCCCTCTGGAAGCTGAGCCTCTGATGTATGTCTCTGATGTATGTGTATGTAGGGGGATGGGGGGAGGTGGGATGATCATATGTGCACCACCCAGGAGCTTGCAGGGCCCCCCCAAACCCACTGAATCAGAATCTACCCCTTATAACGTTCCCGGGTGATGTACACACACATTACAGTTGGTGAGACACTGCCCTGGAACACTTGTTTAATAAATATTTGTTGACTGATTTTTTTGTTTGTTTGTTTGTTTGGTTGTTTTTTGAGACTGAGTCTCACTCTGTCGCCCATGCTGGAGTGTGGTGGCGCAATCTCGGCTTACTGCAAGCTCCACCTCCCGGGTTCACGCCATTCTCCTGCCTCAGCCTCCCGAGTAGCTGGGACTACAGCCCAGCTAAGTTTTTGTATTTTTTTAGTAGAAACAGGGTTTCACCGTGATACCCAGGATGGTCTCAATCTCCTGACCTCGTGATCCTCCCGCCTCAGCCTCCCAAAGTGCTGGGATTACAGATGTGAGCCACCACGCCCAGCCTTGTTGACTGATTGTTAACCTTCATCTCTCCTCTGTAAATGGGAGGTGGTTGTTATGCCCATTTTGAGGATGAAGAAGCAGAGGAAGTTCATGCAGCCTGTAAGTGGCATTGGTGGCCAGATGGATGTCTCTAAAGCTTGTGTCCCACCTGTAACAGAGGAGCCGGGAGGCAGGAGGTGCTGGGAGGCAGATTACGGTTGCCTCTAAGACGGGTCACACAGATGAGGACTTTCTCCTCTCTGGGCCTCCTTCAGCCCTGGTGAAGCCCTGCAGTCATTTTCTTGGCATTTGCTTTCCCAGGGCCGTTTATGGGTGTTTGTGGATGAGTTGTTCAGAAAATTTGCTTTTATATTTCAATGTAACATCAGTCATCTTGGTTTAGACTGGAAGCCCACCCCTCTCCTACCCCATTCCCCAGGACCTGCCATGGCCCCCTTGTAACTTCTGCCAGCCCACTGACCCCTGACCAACCATGTCAGATCAGGGGAAGGCCCTGGAAAGGAAATGCTCCCAGCCAACTCCAAGTGCAGGTGACAGATGTATCTTCAGATGAAACAGCTCCATTACCATCCTTGTTTGTTTGGTGAAGAGGGAACATCATCCATTTACTCTGTATTAAAAATAATCAGGCCGGGCACGGTGGCTTACGCCTGTAATCCCAGCACTTTGGGAGGCTGAGGTGGGCGGATCACGAGGTCAGGAGATTGAGACCATCTTGGCTAACACAGGTGAAACCTGGTCTCTACTAAAAATACAAAAAATTAGCCAGGCGTGGTGGTGGGCATCTGTAATCCCAGCTACTTGGGAGGCTGAGGCAGGAGAATGGCATGAACCTGGGAGACGGAGCTTGCAGTGAGCCGAGATCATGCCACTGCACTCCAGCCTGGGTGACAGAGTGAGAGTCTGTCTCAAAAAATTAAATTAAATTAAATTAAAAAGCTGGATGCGGTGGCTCATGCCTGTAATCCTAGCACTTTGGGAAGCCAAGGCGGGCGGATGACTTAACGTTAGGAGTTCGAGACCAGCCTGGCCAACATGGTGAAACCCTGTCTGTACTTAAAAAAAAAAAAAAAAAAGTACAAAAAATTAGTTGGTCATGGTGGCATGCACCTGTAATCCCAGCTACTTGGGAGGCTGGGACAGGAGAATTGCCTGAACCTGGGAGGCGGAGGTTGCAGTGAGCCGAGATCACACCAAGGCACTCCAGCCTGGGTGGACAGAACGATACTCCGTCTCAAAAAAACAAAAATAATCTAGAATGCTTTCAAGGCCCTTCTAGGATGGCCTGTCTTCAGTGCTGCCCACTCCCTTGGCAGAACCCTCTGCATTTGACCCCATGTGCTCATGGCTGTGAGCCCTGTCTTCCACTGAATTCCAAGCCTCTTGAGTACAGGTGTTCATTTCTTTTGTACCCTCAACCAGTCTCCCTCTCTCCTTTCCTGAAGCCCCACCTGTCAGCCTAATGAGGTCTGCTCCTGGTATCCAATATAATCTATGAAGTTCTTCCCTTCACTTCTTCTTGGGACGTTGTGCTTGCCTTTTTTCTTCACTCTGCACATAGCTGTGTCCTTGCATTCTCCTCTGACACAGTTCAGGTGCATCCTGTGCCAGAAGCTTCCCTTAGTTGTTCAGCTTGCAGCATCGTCTCCCTCCTCCCAGCTCACTTGGACCTCAGCGCAGTATGCACGTCCATTCTCCCTAGTTAGGGGTCAGTATGTTCCTTCCGCCAAGCGTCTGACCTCTTGCAGTTGTATCCCCCAAGGCTCCTGGCCTGCCTCCCACAGGAGGAAGTAAAATTTGTCAGCGGTTGATTCAGCAAACACCTGCTGGGGATGCCAAGTTAGGGTCACTTCCCTTGAGGGAGTGGCAGGCGGGTGAGCAAAGCGTGCTCCTGGAGGGATGCAGCTCCAGGAGAAGCAGCTGTTTGGAAGACCCCAGAGTGGCTGGTCTGCTGTTCCTGCCATGGCTCGCTGGGGCAGTGTGGCAGACTTCCTGCCTGGCCGTGGTGTCTCGGCCATATGGCTGTCCCTAGTTTTGTCCTGTGGGAAGCTCTGCCTTGACTCTTGGCCTTTTGGCCACCAGAAAGGGCCATTTGTGAAGAGTCCCCTCTGGGCCACTGCTTCTGGGCAGCCCAGCCCCTGATGGGAGTGGAACACTTGAGCCTACCTTATGGGTTGAACAGTGCAAGGACTTGTTTGCCAGGTTTGGGGTCTGTCTGCCTCTACAGCTCCCTAAAACTCTGTAGTAATAAGCCTTTGGGCAGTTGGCATTGCATCATCTTCATGGCTGAGAACCTAGAGCCAAAGATTGTGTTGACTCTAAGTCCATGGATCTAAATCCAGGCCTTGAGGGTCTGTCCCTCAGCAGCAGGCCTCGGGGCTCCTCTCAGGCACCCACCCCTGGTTCTCTAGCAATGCAGTGAGAGCTGCAGCAGGGGGTCCATGTGAGGTTTGCATGGGGAAGGATTCAGGCCTTTCCAGTCTTGTCTCCTAATAGAGTCTGGTCCCCCTGTCTCCTCTGGCACTGCCTTCAGCAAGGACAGGGAATTTTCAACTCCAGTTATCTGACTTCACTCTCAGCTGTCTTGCATTGTTTTCTATAGACAAAACTTTCCTATTCAGAGGGGCTGCGAGGAGTGATGCTTGTAAGGCTTATTTTTATAGGGCTTAGCATAGGCTCCAAGAAGCATCTGGCATAGGCTGGTATCCTGAAGTGTTCTACCACATGCCCAGTGTCTCACCTCAAGACAAAATAGGCTGCATTCCAGCCGGTGGTGCTGCTGCTGTGTATCTGGAATTCCAGTTTCTTAGCTGGGAGATGGCAAAGTCCTCTCTGCCCCACCTGACCTCAGCCCAGCCAATTTTGTATTTCAGGAATTGTCCCCTCGGGCACCATGCCTCTGGGGATCAGTTTCTGCGTAACCAGACTTATGGTTGTAATGACAAACATGCAACTACAACTAGTTGGAAAGTAGCAACAGAAAAGAGGAGAGACTGGATATTTATGGCCCCTTGTAACTAGAAAGTTGTTGGAGCAGCATGGCATCAGGCATAGCTGAATCTGGGGGCTCAGCGAGGTCTGTTGAGGTCGTCCTCAGCAGCTCCAGGAGTACATGGTTCTTGCAGCATGGCACCCACTACCTCAGAAGGAGAGAGTGCCTGGGGAAGCTTCTCGTGGAAGTGGCTTGGTCTCATGCCCACCCTGGAGCCAATCGTGGTGCCCAGCACCTAGGATACTGAGCTGGTACCAGGGGTGGGATTTCCCCCACCCGAATCCTGTGGACTGAGATGCAAGAATGATTCGTCAAAGGAAAACCAGGGTACGGTTATGAAAGTAGGTGAAAGGCATGGAGGCAGAGCACCAGAGTGCAGGCAGCAATGATTCACCTCAGGGTACACCAGTAGTGGAAGGGTCAGGCTGTGGACGTCGCTCTCTCTGACTCCAGCATTCGGGCTTGTTCGATTGAAGCACTCTTGCAGAGGCAGGTGAGATCCAGCTAGTTGTGGGGCCTTCACAGGTGAGCTGGGTGGTGAGCCTGAACTTGAGGAGGAATCACCGACAGTTGAGTGGAAGAGGTGCCTTCCAGCGAGGGAAGGCCAAAGGGAAGCCCCAGGGGGAAACAAGGGGAGGTGGCTTGTTTGGAGGTGCAGTGTAATCATAATTCTTGGAGCCAAGAGGAGGTGTGTGTGGGATGGATTGGGAATGAGCGTGAGGGCCAGGTGGGCTCCACAAGAAGGCCCAGAGCAGAGAGTCCACGGTAAGGCTCAGGGTGTCTCTCTTTACTGGGGTTCTAGAACTTTGGCTGCGGGTCACCACACCGTGAGGTGCAGCACAGCCTGTTCTCCCTCAAATCAGGCTCACCTATGGGTCAGCACGCTGTCTGTGGTCAGCACGCTGTCTGGGGCAATCTTCTCTAGGGTCTGGAGCTGGGGAGTCTGGGCCCTAGACTAGGATGAAGCCTTTGTGGATCCAAGGTAACGAATCACCCACTTTTTTGTTGGTCTGAGCTCCGAGGGTTATTCACTGGCTTTGATTGGCTTCCAGGATGTTTTGGGGCCTGCTCTTTGGACATCTCCAGCCTTAGCCGGTTCAGCCTCCCCAAGCTCCGGTGGGTCTCTTCCATTTCTCCAGCCCTAGCTCGGTGTGCCAATGGCATGGAGAGTGACTCATATTTCTGCAGCCATTCATTCTACCTTGAGCCTGGCAGACTTTAGTCATTGGTGCCTAATTTAGGGTTCATTGTGGCTCCACAGATAAGAGCGCAGGCCTCTTGAGAACCTGTCCTGCCCCCGGTGTCAGCCTGGCTGGCATGTGTTCTCCTTTACCTCACACTCAGCACCAGGGAGGTCCTGGTGCCCTGACCCTAGTACACAGGAATTCTGCATTGCAGTGGCATGCTAGGTTGTGAAGCTGCTGTGCAAAGTCAAAAAAGGTGAAATGCCCTCAGCAGCTGGAAGGATTATGATCTGCAGATTCTCTTCTCCCAGCCCCTTGAAGGTGGGCTTCTTTTTTTACTCTTCTTTTTTGTCAGTGTAACCCCAAGCTATTCTGCTGTCACCTGGAATTGTGTCTCTGATTACAACTTTTAAAAAAGAAAGAACACTACGCTGCTTCCAGGACAGGATATGATAGCATATTTGGTTTTTGTGTTTTTAGCCCTGGTATGGCGGGAATTCACTGTTGATTTTGGCTTCCCTCTCCAAGGGGTGTGGGCTGTGTGCCTCACACGGACAGGAGCTCAGTCCTTGTGGCACTGCTGTCCTGGCCCCAGGTGAGAGGCTGGCTTCCAGATGCCGAAGGAGGAGCAGGCTGCTAGGGGATCAGGCCTCATCCAGCCAGAAACCTGGATCTAGTTGACACTGGTGCTTTTAGCTGAGGGGTCTTGGAATTAATCAGTTTTCCCTGGATTCAAATTTTTTTGTTTGTTTGTTTAGATAGTCTTGCTCTGTCACCCGGGCTGGAGTGCCAATGATACGATTTTGGCTTACTGCAACCTCTGCCTCCCGGCTTCAAACAATTCTCCTGCCTTGGCCTCCAGAATAACTGGAATTACAGGCGCGTACCACCACGCCCAGCTAATTTTTTGTATTTTTAGTAGAGATGGTGTTTTGCCATGTTAGCCAGGCTGGTCTTGAACTCCTGACCTCAAGTAATCCACCCGCCTCAGCTTCCAAAAGTACTGGGATTACAGGCGTAAGCCACCAGATGCCCCGCCTAGATTTTTTATTTGTAACTCTGGAGAAGGGTTAAACCCCTACCTAAGAGGTTATTGTGAGCATCACTTGAAAATATTTTCTAAGTGCATACTTTTTTTTTTTTTTTTGAGATGGAGTCTTGCTGTGTTGCCCAGGCTGGAGTGCAATGGCGTGATCTCAGCTCACCGCAACCTCCACCTCCTGGGTTCAAGCAATTCTGCTGCCTCAACTGGGATTACAGGCATGCGCCACCATGCCTGACTAATTTTGTATTTTTAGTAGAGATGTTGGTCAGGCTGTTCTCGAACTCTCGACCTCAGATAATCCTCCTACCTCAGCCTCCCAAAGTGTTGGGATTACAGGCGTGAGCCACTGCGCCCAGCTAGCATACTTTCTATGCTTTATACTATTTCATCTAATTTAATGATCATGGCTACACTACGAGCTAGGCATTATTAGTAACTCCATTTTGTATTTGCGGAAACAGACTTAGCACTCTCTGAACATTTTGAGGTATATCCTTCCAGTCTTTTTTTCCCTATAGGCTTACATGTGCTTTTAAAATGTAAGTTCATACAGTCATGTTTTATAGTCTGCTTTTTAAAAAAGTTAGTATTTCATGAGTCGTTTTTCAATACACCTCTATGTCACTGTAAGTAACCTCATAGCATTTCATTGTAATGTCCTATCATAATTTTGTGAAGTCTCATCATTGGACCCGTATGATAAATCTTTTTTTTTTTTTTTTTGCCTTTATAAACAATACTGAAATGGATATCCTTGAAGCTAAATTTTGCATACATCATTTTTTTTTTTTTTTTTTTTTGGTGGAGATGGGGTCTGTGTTGCCAGGGCTGGTCCTGAACTCCTGGGCTCAAGCAATTCTCCCACCTCACCCTCCCAAAGTGCTGGGGTTACGGGTGTGAGTCACCGCCCCCCGCTTTTTCTTTTCTTTTTTTTTTTTTTTAAGATAAATTCCTAGAAAGTAGAATTACTGAATCATAGAGTATACATTTTTTGGAGACTTTGATACAGAAGCCAAATTGCCTGTTTTTTTGTTTTTTCCGTTAAAAAATTGTGTTGGCTGGGCAAGGTGGCTCCCGCCTATAATCCCAGCACTTTGGGAGGCCGAGGTGGGTGGATCACCTGAGGTCAGGAGTTGAAGACCAGCCTGGCCAACATGGTGAAACCCTGTCTCTACTAAAAATATAAAAATTAGCCAGGTATGGTGGTATGTGCCTGTAATTCCAGCTACTCAGGAGGCTGAGACAGGAGAATTGCTTGAACCCAGGAGGTGAAGGTTGCAGTGAGCTGAGATTGAGCCACTGCACTCCAGCCTGGGTGGACAGAGCAAGATTCTGTCCCAAAAAAAAAAAACAAAAAACAAACAAACAAAAAAAACAGTGTTAAATATACATACCATAGAATTGACCATCTTAACCACTTTTAAGTGTTCAGTTCGGTACTGAGACATTGTTGTGCAACCAATCTCCTGAACTCTTTAACATTTGCATTATTGTGCAACCAATCTCCAGAATTCTTTTACCTTGTGAAATCGAAATTCTATGCCCATGAAACAGCAACGCCCCGTTCCCTCCTCCCCTAACCCCTGGCAACTACTCTTCTATTTTCTGTTTTTATGAATTTGATTATGCAAGTACTTCGTGTAAGAGGACTCATACAGTATTTGCCTTTTTGTGTCTGGCTTATTTCACTTAGTAAAATGTCCTCAAGGCTTATCCATATTGTAGCATGTGTCAGAATTTCCTTCCTTCTGAAGGCTGAATGATACTGTATTGTACGTATGTATATATGACATTTTGTTTATCCGTTCATCTGTCAATGGACACTTGGGTTGCTTCTACATTTTAACCATTGTGAATAATGCTGCTATGAATGCTAGTGGACTGATCTCTCTTTGAGACCCTGCTTTCTATTCTTTTGGGTGTACACCTGGAAGTGGAATTGCTGGATCATATGGTAATCCTATTTTTAAATGTTCTAATTTTAACAGAGTGATCTGTGAGGGTTCTTTCCTACCTGGCCTTCCAGTTTTCCCTTGAGAACTGAGTGAATTGCATTTTTTCCCTTCTTCCCCTGGCTGCAGGGTACCCAAGTCTGGGATTCATCGTCCGTGGATGCTGCAGCTGTACCTGCGCCCTTTTGACAGGCTGGGTAGGTGGGAGGGAAGGGGTTCTGTTGCTGAGGAAGTTTTCTGTTTTCTACCTCTGCATCCAGGGCCCAAAGCTCCAGGGCTCCAAGGGTGGGGCTTCTTGGAAGGGTGGCTGCCTGGGATGTGATGAGTCATTCAGACTGAAGGAGCTGGGACCAGCCTGGTGTTGGGTCTGAGGCTGTGCCAGGATCAGCTTGGCTCCAAATCGAAAGTTCTGAGTTAATGAAAAAGCAAGTCCTCCTCTTGCAAGGGACCTCTCCTAGAGCTGGGTGTTGGCACAGAAAGGCCCTCACTAGTGGGAATCACAAGGCAGTGCCTGCCCCGCAGGGCTGCATTACAACCCTCCGATGCCTCAAGGACTGGGCTCAGGGCAGCCCGCCTTTATCCTGGATTGAGTGCTGCGGTCTGGCCGCTTGTGCAGAGGCACTCACGGGGCAGAGGGTAAAGCAACCCAAGCCTGGAGTCCCTGGGTGGTCTTCCCATCAGATGTTTGTGGGCAGGAAAATAGACCTTATCAACCAGGGTACACACACAAGGTTGCCTGCCCCTTTTTATGGGCAGAACTGGGTGACTGGACTGTGACCTTGCTTAGGAAAAGCCACTGCCAGCTCCAGAAACTTTTTGGCCCTGTGTATGTTGGAAATTGCTTTACAGAGGACCACCTCAGTGAATGTACCCCTGTACTTTGAACTTTTGTTTCTCTGAGTCTTGACAGCTCCCTTCAAAAAGGCATTATCTCCATTATTTTTAGATAAATTTTCATGTAGTGAGATGTACAAATCTTAACTATATAATTTCATCAATTGGACCAGTATAAATATCCATGTGACCAGTACTGTAACAAAGATATGGAACATTTCTATCACCACAGAAAGTCTGCTTGGACTCTTTTCTAATTGGTCTCCACCCCAGGCAACCACTGTTTTGTTTTTGCTTTTTTTTTTTTAAAGAGATAAAGTCTTGCTGTGTTGCCCAGGCTGGTCTCAAACTTCTGGGCTCAACTGATCCCCTGCCTCAGCTCCCACAGTGCTGGGATTACAGACGTGGGCCACCACTCCTGGCCTTATTTTCTACTGGTATAGATTAATTTACTCTTTTGAATAAATGAAATCATACCGCATGTATTTTTTAAATGTCTGGTTTCTTTTGCACAATGTAATTTTTAAGTAATTCATTTGTGTTATGTGTATATGAGTTTTAAAAAAAAAATCTGAGTAGTATTCCATTATATAACTATACCACAATTTGTTTATGAATTCTCCAAGAATTTTTTTTTTTTTTTTTGAGACGGAGTCTTGCTCTGTCACCCACACTGGAGTGCTGTGGAGCAATCTCAGCTCACTGCAACCTCTGACTCCCTGGTTCAAGCAATTCTCCTGCCTCAGCCTCCCGAGTAGCTGGGATTCACAGGCATGTGCCACCATGCCCAGCTAATTTTTGTATTTTTAGTAGAGATGGGGTTTCACTATGCTGGCCAGGATGGTCTCGATCTCCTGACCTCGTGATCTGTCTGCCTCGGCCTCCCAAAGTGCTGGGATTACAGGCATGAGCCACCACACCTGGCCCAGGAAATATTTTTTAAGTGGAGAGGGAGGAACTCCTTTGGGCCGTACACTTGGCTATGTGAATACGCTCATTCATCTACGCATCCATCTGCATGCTTCCTAAACACCAGGCCCTGGCCATCACTGCGGTGCAAAGATAATCAGAAATGGGTAGAGAGGATGATGACAATGAAGGAAAAAGGCACATACATAGGAGATGCAGCCAAACTGTTCAAGTGGTTTAGACACAGGGAGGCTTAACTCTACCTGGCAGAGTTTCAGAGAAGAGGTGGCTTTGCTTTGAGCTTTTTTTTAAATTGAGATGGGGTCTTGTTCTGTCACCCAGCTGGAGTGCGGTGGCGTAATCTTGGCTCACTGCAGCCTCCGCCTTCCGGGCTCAAGCGATTCTCCCACCTCTGTCTTCTGAGTAGCTAGAGTCACAAGTGTGCACCACCAAGCCCAGCTAATTTTTTCTATTTTTGGGGAGACAAGGTTTCACCACATTCCCAGGCTGGTCTCAAACTCCTAAGCTCAAGCAGTCACCTGCCTGGGCTTCCCAGTGTGCTGGGATTACAGATGTGGGCCACTTTGCCTGGCCTACTTTGAGCTTTCAAGGAGGATGGGATTTGAGGTTCTTGGAGAAGCATGGTGGGGAGGTCCCTGCTGAGAGTGGAAGGAACAAATGCCACACGGGGAAGGTGGAAGCCCCACAGACCATTTTTCCTGAATTCACAGCTTTGCAGTGGCCAGCCCTCTGGAGGCTTGGAACTGGCAGCTTGAACTTGACAGCAGCTGGCATCACCCATTCCAGTGCTGGACCCAGAGGTGTGGCAGGAGGGAGCCCAGTCTCAGCACATCTCTCTGGGGACCACAGGGCAGCTGTGTTGAAACAGATCCACTCTATGTCCCCTGGAATTGGCTGTGCCCTGCCATGTGCGGTTGGTCTCCTGGGCCAGGCCTCTCAACAGTTCATAGGTTCGCCCCACCTTCTTGCAGGGTGGATAGGCTGCATGTCTAGGGAGCAGGGGCTGGCCCAGCTCTGGCAGTGAGCAACGAGGCCTGCCTCCTTGATTCTTTCTCGGTTCCTCTTCCCCCTTTAGTCCTCTGGAATGAGGATCCTCCCCCTCCTGGTTGTGAGTCATTTGGCAGGAGGCACGTTGACACGCGGTGACCCAGGCACCTGGGTCTTTGTGTTGAGCAAGGACCTTCATGTTCTGTGCCCGCCTTCCTCCAGGCCAAGGCACCCGAACTTTGGATCTGGTCACACCCCAGCCTGGCAAAGGACAAGGTCACTGAATCTGTGTGCATGGGAATGTGGCTAAGAAAAACAATAATTCCTTACCTTGTATTTGCAGAGCACTTTGTTTTCTGTCAGACATGACCAGGCTTGTGTTTTTTCATCCAGCCAGCAAATGCTTGTCCAGTACCTACTGTGTGCCAGGTGGTAGAAAAGTAAGCACGATTAGGTTGATGTCTTGAAGGAGTCTACAGTCTGGGGAAACATATGAACAAATAAGTATAAGAAATGGTGAGTTAGGAATATGTGTAGACTGGGGCTTAAAGGAGGAATGTTTGGCTATACCAGGGACTATCAGGAAGGGCTTTGTAGAGGAGGTAGCATTTACTAGGTCAGAATGTGAACAGTAATTTTGGGTAGACTTGGTGGGGTGGATACACTCCATGCAGGAGGAACAACTTGAGTAAGTCAAGAAGGCATCCTACAACCAAGCATTGGGAGCAGGAGGTCGGGTGTGGATGTGGCAGGTAAGGTGAGAGATGAGGCTGGAGAACTGATACCAGGAGGGCCTGGTATGGAGCCTCCAGAGGTTGGACCTTACCCTGTAGCAGTATGGACCCCTGGAGAGTTTTAGAAGGATCCCCCTGGGGATTAAAGTGAGACTGGAGGCAGGGAGGCCAGTTAGGAGGCCAATATAGTCATCCGCTCAAGACATAAAACCTGATATAAAGTAGTAGGAAGAGAGGAAGGGAAGGTTTGAGGACTTGGTCATTACGTGGATGTTGGGGCTTATAGGGCAGGAAACAGTTGAGGATTCTTCTATTATACATTCCTTCAGTAAGTTCGTCTTCACATGTAAAGTACCTAAAGTACCGTGTGGGCAGAAAGACGAGACAGACATTGATTCTCCCCATTGAGAAACAATAGTTCAGAAGGACAGCACTCTCTAGTCAGGTCTATATTAGCTGCAAGTGTCAAAAAAAGGGACAGCAGGAGGAAGGAAGGGAGAGAGGGAGGGAGGAAGGGAGAAGACATGGGAGGTATTTAATGGCGTTCGTACAGTGGAAAGCTCCAGCAGGTAGAGCTTCAGGCAAAGCTGGATCTAGGTACTTAGTCTCTTTAGAAATCCACCCTTCTCCATCATGTCTTACCTTTGCTTTGCATGGATTTCATTTTTTTCGTGACTAAGAGTTTATTCAGTATTTTTCCTGTCTTAAAAAAAAGTAACCTGATGCAAATAGAGTTGTTTTTCTGTACAGCGTTAGTTTCTAGTATGGCTAACAATGCTATATCCCTTCTTTGTTTCTTACAGATTGTTTTTATTTTTTGAGCTTTTTGGTTTTGGCCTTGAAGCTTTTATTTAAAAAATGTTTAAATTGCAGCAAAAAAGCCCCATACAACATAAAATTTACCATCTAAGCCATTTTTAAATGTACACTTCAGTAGTATTATTTATATTCACATTGTATAGACTTCATTTTAAGGCAGGTTTTCTCTAACATTTCTAAACTGACGTCTGATACCAGCTTAACCACCCCAGTGGAAAGAGTGACAATTCTGAGACTGTTTTTTATTGGCCCAGATTGGGCCATGTGCCCACACTTAGCTGATTGCTGTGGCGGTCATGATCATCTGAGATTGCAGGAGAGGTGGTCAAAAGGAGAGGAAGGTGCTATTACTGATAAATGGGAAAGTGGTCGTCCCCTGCAGGCAGAGACCTGAGCATGGGTAACTTTTGCAGGGAGGAACTGTTGGGTTCCATGGGAAGCGTGCATGTAAAATGCTGCATAACTTGAGCACCTACTGTGTGAGGTGCTGTGCAAGGGTTGTGGTTATCCAAAAAGGTTCATATTTGCCCCCATGGAGCTTTCAGCTACCTGGGGAGAGAAGAGCTGGCCAGAGATTACCAAAATACAGTGTAGAAAATGGTGAGCACCAGGAGAGTGGATGTTTTTCTTCTAACAACTGCAAGTGTAACCAGTAACCCCATCTTCAGGCCAGAATTCATTGTGGCCCAGATGGTATTGGGTCCAGATAGTATTATGGTAAAAGATCCTCTTTTTCCTAGTCATGGGCTTACAACTGTATGCTTTTCAATTAACCAAAATGCACCGCAAGGGGCTTTTTGAGGGGCCAGAGACCTTGTTGCCAATGTCCAATCCTATTCCCTCTTTAAATCCAAGGCCCAGGAACAGAATGGAGCCCCTGAAAATGAGGCTTGTGGAACAGCAAAGTGAAGGGAAGGGGAGAAACTTGTCCTTGCATTTTATGGAGGAGATAAGAGTATGAAATTTCTGGCTGGCTTTTGCAGCACAGCCAGGTTCTCCAAGAGTGGCATGACAGAGAGAATGGAAAGAGAGAGGAAAAAGTAGAGTGACAGAAGAGGAGCTTGAGAGCCTTCCAGCCACCACACGGTGCAGGGATACTCTTGCTACCCTCATTTATCCCCGGTCAGGGAGGGCCTCAGTGCCCAGTGCGGCGGAGGACCGATCCCTCCCACTGCCGCAGGTCACCGATTGAGGTGAACTGTTTCCACCCGGAGGGAGCTCAGGAAAGAAAGAAATCAGCCTGTACACAAAGTCATTACATTCACACAAACAAACGGCGTGCTTCCAAACAAAATCCCCAGTCTGAGTAGAGGGACTCCAGGGCCTGAGTGGAGTTCTGAACCCCCTGCCTCAGCTGGAGATACCTTGACAGGCAGCTGAGTCCCTATAGTGGCACAGATGCAAATGCTCAAAATGCCCAAATGATGCCAGTAGCGGCCAAGTCTTCACACAGTGAAGTCCCAGGGACACCCAGAAGAGACAGAAAAACGTCAGGTATAGTCTAGCTTGCTCACCCAGTTTCAAGGTTGCTGGCTTCTTCAGAGGTCACTTTCTTTGTACCAGTGAAGCATTGGAGGCAGCAGATGTCATGCCAGGGGGTGAAAGGGAGGTTCCCCAAAACAAGAACATTTTGGCAGCTGCTGAGAAATCCCCTTAACATTTCTATTCTAGAGTCCAGTAGCCAGGAGCAGCTGGCGCTCCCAGGCATCCCCCACCTTGCCTGGTAGTGAAACCAGGCTGATAGGCTCAGTCGTCCGAAGTGTGCTGCAGTCCTCATAGGGGCCACCAAAATTGTAACTGAAACGCAGTTCAGTCACTCGCCACTTGCAGAGTCCAATTAACAAGAGTGAGGTCTGGAATAAAGAAAGTCACTTTATTCCAAAGCTTAGCTTAGGGGAAGAGGTACAGGCTCCTGCCTTAAAAGATAACCACTTCACTTCCTGGGCAAAAAGCCGGGGCTTTTAAAGGGGGACTTGGCATGAACGCCATGCAGAGGAGGGAGCAAGCAAGTGCAGGGTCTGCATGACTTGCCTTGGGGCCTTACCTAGCAGGTAGTCGAGCTGGCACCATTGTGGGCAGAGCCAGGTTGTAAAGTGAGCATTGCTTCAAGATACTCTCCGGTTGGGAGAGAGTTCCTTCTCAGTCACACTTTAGGATGTGAATTGTCTGTTATCTCTAGAGGCAGTCTCCTGGTGGGAAAGTTCTGGCTCTGGAGCTTCTAAGTCAGCACATGGATAAGCTTGCTGTGTAGGGAGTGTCTGGTGAAGGGAAGGTAAAGGTTTTGCATTTCTAAAGAGCTAAGTAGGAAGTGGGGAACAGGAAAAGGAGGAAAGAGGAAAGAAAAAAAATACGTTTTTTTAAAAAACCTCCTTCTCTTTTGCTTTGAAAAATGGGGATACTCCGTTACAGAGGAGGGGTCAGGAGTGGCTTCCCGGGGAGTTGGGCTGGGGTGATGCAGTGTGATTCCCCACATGCTGTCCCATCGCTTACTCCCAGCCACTGCTAACACCACCGTCACTTCAGCTTCCTCCTCCCCTCCGCAGACCTCCGCCTCCTCCTGGCTGCACCAGAGTGTGTGCCCCCTCGGATGAGCCCACCCTGGGCCCATGGGGAGGGCCTGGAGTCAGGGGGCCCGAGCAGGGCAGGTCTGAGGCGCCCTCTTCCTCCTGCAGGCCTCTCTCTGGAACGCCTACCCAACTCCATCGCTTCCCGCTTCCGCCTGACGGAGAGGGAGGAGGAAGTGATCACCTGTTTTGAGAGGGCCTCCTGGATCGCTCAGGTGTTCCTGCAGGAATTGGAGAAGGTGAGCTGGAAATAACACCGTGGTAGGAGCTGCTGTCTATTGAGCACCTATATCTACAGATCCCACTAAACCCATAGGTCACCCGTGTGCTAATTAGAAGGCACCTTCTCTGTCCCCCAAAGACACTCTACTTCATAGGTTGGAAAACTCATTATAGTATACTGATTCCACTAGAATGAGACTCTTTACTGGAAAATAGTTTAATAGATAAATGAGTCCATGCCATCTGCTAGGCACCAGGAACTCCTTGGTGAACTCATCTTGCAGCACCAAACATGACAGCCCTGCTTGTAGCCATTAACTTGTTGACTCCTCACAGCCACCCCTGAGGTGGGTGTTGTACTTATCCCTGTTTAATAGATGAGCTTTAGGAGATTGAATCATTTGCTCACCATTCTTTCCCTGGCAGGGGTGGTGTCCGCCTGGGTCTTGCAGCTGGACATCCTTCCCTGCTCTCGGTGTCCCAGAAGCTCCTCCCTGGATCCTGTGGGGAAGCAGGATCTTGGGATTCCTTCTCCGAGCCTTTCAGAGGCTGGTGAAAGAGCTGGTCACAGGGCCCTGGCAGTTTTCAGATCTCCCTCCCTCTCCATTCCCTATGGTGGGTCTGGGTTAACTGTCTGCAGGGTATCAAGTACAGGTGGTAGCAGTGTTTGTGGTAAGTATCCCAGCCCTTCCCCTTCTGGGAGGCTCTGGTTTTTTTTTTTTTTTTTTGCTTTTAATTTTTATGCATTTTATTAATTATTATTTTTTAGGTGGATTCTTGCTCTGTCACTCAGGCTGGAGTTCAGTGGCACAATCTCAGCTCACTGCAACCTCCGCCTCTGGGTTCAAGCGATTCTTCTGCCTCAGCCTCTTGAGTAGCTGAAACTATAGGCATCTGCCACCATTTTTGTATTTTTAGTAGAGACAGGGTTTCACCATGTTGGCCAGGCTGGTTTTGAACTCCTGACCTCAGGTGATCTGCCTGCCTCAGTCTCCCAAAGTTCTGGGATTACAGGCCCGTGCCTGGCCTCCATTTTATTCTTTTTCCCTCCACATCTTAATACTATGCCATGAGGGGTCCTTAGTTCAATGCTAAGGGGACAGGAAACTGTATTCAACAGAGATCCTGCTAGCCCTTCTTGAGTGCCTGCTTTTGTGTCAGACACAAGTCTAAGCACTTTACATTCATTCTGTGATTTAACCCTCACACTGACTGGATGAAATAGGCCCTGTTGTCATTCCCATTTTACAAGTAAGAAAACAAATTTGAGGAGGAGTTAGCCTGCCAGAGCTTACCTCGTTAATAAGTGGTATTGGCAGGATTTGAACCCAGGGAGTGTGGCTCTGAATGCTCGCAGGGAAGATATTGGGGGTGATGCTTAGGTATGCTGTGGAGTAGATCTTTAACATGTTAGATGGAAGGTTCTAGAGCAGAGTAGATTAGAGTTGGTGCCCTGAAGGAGGAGGTGGTCATGGACTGAGAGACTTAGAGCCCAGGAGACACTTGCACCTCACCTGCCTCGGCAGATGCCAAAATGTCAGTCCGGTACCCATTTTTGTGATGGGCCATTTTGGAGGAGTCTACCCCAGGCCAGGTCATTTCCCCTAGAGCAGGATTCTCAACCTCAGTGCTGTTGATATTTGGGACTGGAGAATTCTTTGTTGTCGGTGGGGGCGGGGGGCTGCCGTGTATATTATAGGATGTTTAGCAGCATCCATGGCCTCTCCCCACTATGCCAGTAGCACTATCCCCCTCGTTGTGACAACCAAAAATGTCTTCAGTTACTGACAACTGTCCCCTGAGGGCAAAGTCACCCCCCTGCTGACAGCCACTACTCTAGAAGATGTCTCCTTGATTGGACTTCAGGAGGAAAGGAGAAGTGACTGATGGGCTCAGCAAATCTAGGACTTGAGTGCCCGTTCTCTGGCAGAGGCCACTTAGAGACTCAGCATGGTTGAGCTGACCTCTACCAAAGGGGAATGGGTCACTGCTGGACAGTACTAGTGTTTTAGGAGTTTTTCATGTTTGCATTGCATGTGGTTGGGAGGAAACTTTCATGGAAAAGATAAAATCTGCTGCTCATCTGGAAGCCTAGGCTTTGGACTTTCAAAAGGGGATTAAGGTGATAAGCTATAGTGCCAGGCACTGTACTGTCCCTATCAAATGTCTGATGATGATGTCCAGGGCCGGAATCAGTGCCTGGTAGCAGTGGGCAGACAAACGGGGCCCTATAGTTGTTATCTTAAGTTGAGGGAGGGCAGGCCATAGAACCTTGTGCACCCTCAGAAATGCTGTGTGTCCCTCCTGAGACCCAGTCCTGACCTCTAAGGAACTAAGACCCTCTCTTAAATCTCTGAATTCTGAAAGAGGAGGCGGATGCCTCAGATTTTTTTCCCCTCAGATTAGACAAAGGAAATGGTATACAGAAGGCAGGCCAGTCTCGTTGGGCTGGAGGACCCTGTTAGGGCTGAGGCTTTTAAGCAACAGCTCAGTTAATGATGTAATTGTTCCTCAGCTTTTCCTGGAACCAGGGGGGGTCTCAGTTCTCTGGATGTTCTGATGTTCCACGCTTGTTTGACAGGGACAGTACAGTGCCTGGCAGGCACTCAGATGTTTGTGGAATGAATTAACTGATACATAGTGCAAATAGCCTGGAATCCGTTCCTGGCTAGGCTTGAGTTTGAGGTCCAGACTGACACCAGCTTTGTGACTTTATGCATTAAATTATTATTGATGGATTGATTGGGATAGAGTCTCACTCTTTTGCCCAGGATGGTCTGGAACTCCTGGCCTCAAGCGATTCTCTTGCCTCGGCCTCCCAAAGTGCTGCGATTACAGATGTGAGCCACCACGTCTAATTTACGCTTTTGACCTTAGACATTTTCTGAGCCTCAGTTTCCTCGTCGATGAAATGCAAATAAAACCAGCCCTGTAGGACAGTTGTGAGACATAAATAAGATTTGGGCTTGGGTGGCGATTTTGTAAGAGTTTCATTTCCCCTTCTCTTTCCTTAACTGGAGGTGAGGTGTGGACAGCAGTGAGACTAAGGAGACAGCTCCTGTCCTGTGGGAGTGAAGTCTGGTGGGAGCTGAGGTTTGCATACGCAGAACAGGGCAGCAGTGCTGCATGAAGTGGTCTTTCTACCACGTGCTCAGACAATGAGTGCTGTCTGGTTGAAGAGCGAGTGCTCAGCATGGCTCTGTACAGACAGGGAAGTCCTCCTGCAGTAGGGGGTAAGAATGGAGAGGGGAACCTGACTGCGCTGGCTCTGCCGCCACCCCTCAACCTGAGTGGCCTTGGGGCAGGAAGAGACCCTCTCTGTTCTCACCTGTGAAATGGAAATGATGACTGTTCCTACTTAGTAGAGCTGCTCTAAGGACTAAGTGAGTTAATGAATTTAAAGCTCTGTGATTGTTGAATGAATATTAGGGGCTTAGTGTGGTGGCTCATGCCTATAATCTCATCACTTTAGGAGGCCGAGGTGGGACGATTGCTTAAGCCCAGGAGTTCGAGATCAGCCTGGGCAATATAGTAAGACCCTGTTTCTTAAAAAAAAAAAAAAAAGAGACACAGGGCTTGTGGGCATCTAACAGTTGGATGGGGAGAGAATGCTTTAGACATATTTTGAGTTAAAGCGAGTTAGATGGAGCCTGGTCTGAGAATTGCAACAATGTGCCCCTGAACAGCAGGGACTGGGATGGTGATGAGGCCACCTCCTCTTGCTGAGTGACCCCCTGCTTCAGAACTTTGAGACAACGGCTCTCTCTCTGTTCCCCTTCCCAGACCACAAATAACAGCACGTCGAGGCATCTGAAAGGCTGTCACCCGGCTGACTATGAGCTCACCTACTTCCTGGAAGCCGCCCTCCAGAGCGCCTATGTGAAGAACCTGAAGAAGGGGTAGGTCACTGGTAGTTGAGTGAGTGTGGGAACAATTCCCCTGGGCTGAGACTTTTGACGTGGCCTTAAGGCTGCTCTCCCTCTTCTCTGGCCTGTGCACACATGCTCTCCCAGGAGGATCGGTGGGGACTGGCTTGTGTCACATCTTGTCAGACAGGAGTGTGCAGAGGCGTTCTCAGTGGGAAGGACCACGCTTCAGGAAGCCACGGAAGCAATAAAGCCTGTGTGTGCTCAGGGGAGACTACCAAGAAGAGAAACAGGAATGGGCATCTCAAGAGGGTAGGGTGGAGGGCTGTTGAAAAAGCAAAGGACAGTGAGCTGGCCAGTGGGTCTGGTTTTGTCCACTGTCGTCTGCGGTGTGGATGAAGTTATTTGGTTCCTCTGAGCCTCACGCTCCCCAAAAACCCAATGGGAAGGCAGATATCTGTTCATTCCAGCTTTTAAGGAGTGGTGAGGGATGAGGGAAAGTATGGTAGAAGTAAAGTTCTGGCATCACGCCAGGGCTGTGGCTGTGCCTGCTGACGAGGTAGCAGAAATGCTTGTTTTCCTGTGGGTTGTGTTGAGGTCCTTCGGAATACTGGCCTGTCTGAGACCTAAGAGCCACAGTGCCTGGAATGCCTTCCGTAGGCTTTTGCTCCTGGGTCTCTTGAGTTCCCTCAGTATTTATTGATCATTATCTTTACCATCTTAGAAAAAGGGAAGTGGCAGGATAATAGGATCATCGTAGGGAGAAGGTCAGCAGTAAGACATACGAATAAAGATCTCTGTGACATGAGTAAGTTTAAGGAAAAGTGCTGTGCCTTGATATGCATATGCAAACATCTCCATAAACATTTTCAGTGCATAAAGAGCAGCATTGGCCGGGCGCGGTGGCTCAAGCCTGTAATCCCAGCACTTTGGGAGGCCGAGACGGGCGGATCACGAGGTCAGGAGATCGAGACCATCCTGGCTAACACGGTGAAACCCCGTCTCTATTAAGAAATACAAAAAACTAGCCAGGCGAGGTGGCGGGCGCCTGTAGTCCCAGCTACTCGGGAGGCTGAGGCCGGAGAATGGCGTGAACCCGGGAGGCGGAGCTTGCATTGAGCTGAGATCCGGCCACTGCACTCCAGCCTGGGCGACAGAGCGAGACTCCGTCTCAAAAAAAAAAAAAAAAAAAAGAGCAGCATTGCCGCTAGCACATCCCACCTTCAGCCCTAAGGCGGTTTTCTCCTTTCTCAGTAAACAGAACATACAATCGAGTTTTACACCTCGATGTTCCGTTGCCCAGGGACAGGCAGGAGACAGATGCTTTTCTCTATCTCAACTGCCAAGAGGCCTTCTTTCCTCTTATATTAATCCTCAGCACAGACCCTTCACGGGTGTCAGGCTGGGGGACGATAGGTCTTTCCCTTCCCCATGAGGCCATATTTCAGACTATCACACAGGGAGCAACCTTGGACAATACCTAGCTTTCCTAGGCAGAGGTCCCTGCGAACTTTGGCAGTGAACGTGTCCCTGGGTACGTGAGATTAAGAGAATAGTGATGACTTTTCACAAGCATACTGCCTTCAGGCACTTGTTTAACAAAGCACATCCTGCACAGCCCAAAATCCATTAAACTTTGAGTCACCACAGCACATGTCTCTTGCAAGGACAAGGTTGGGAGTAGGGTCACCGATTAACAGCATCTCAAATACAGAACAAAATGGAGTCTCTTATGTCTACTTCTTTCTATATAGACACAGTAACAGGCTGATCTCTTTCTTTTCCCCACAACTTGTTTAGTAGAATAAAGCACACTTACTGTTTTCTTCTACCTGATACTCTCTCTTTTTTTTTTTTTTTAAAGACAGATCTTGCTCTGACATCTAGGCTGGAGTGCAATGGTGTGATCTCAGCTCACTGCAACTCCCGCCTTCTGGGCTCAGGTGATCCTCCCACCTTAGCCTCCTGAGTAGCTGGGACGACAGGCATGCACCATCACGCCTGGCTAATTTTTTGTATTTTTTGTAGAGAGGGATTTGCACTTTGTTGCCCAGGCTGGTCTCAAACTCTTGGACTCAAGGGATCTCCTGCCTCAGCCTTCTAAAGTGCTGGGATTACAGGCGTGAGCCACTGTGCCTGGCCCTACTTTATACTCAGTACAACACAGGTCATTTCTGTGACCAAATGTGGGGTTTTTTTCCCCCACTCACAACCAGTTCTCTGACACCAGCTGGGTTTCCTACAATTAAATTCACCTCTGATGCTTGATCTGGGCCCTGGCAGGGGCAGGGGAAATGGAAGGGGTCTGGGAGGGGCACAGAGGCTCAGTCCCTTGAGAGACTGCCTTCCATAGCAGACACCAGTCACAAGTAGCAGGTCCCCAGGTTACCAGCAACTTCTGTCTGAATTGGCTACAAACAGACAGAAGTTGGTTCCATAAGTTGCAGAAGAGCTCATGGAACCCAGGAGAGCAGTTTACGTGCTAGATGACTGGTGTACAGTACCACATAAAATGGTACAGCCTAGCCAGGTAGAAGAGGTGCATAGGGTTAGGTATGCGGAAGGCACGCGGAGCGTCCAGGCCCCCTCCGGATGCACCACTGCTGCATGTCCAGCAACCTGGAAGCTCTCCAAGCCCTGTGCTTTTGGGTTTTTATGGCTGCTCCATTATGTAGGCATGTTGTATTAAATCACTGGCCACTGGTGATCAGCTCAACCTTCAGCCCCTCTCTGGCCCCTGACAGAAAAAATTTGCTGATCTATCCCCCAACTTTAAATAATCACTTTTAATATTTTGATACATGTCTTTCATGTTTTTCTATGCATAGATACACAGATTTTTTTTTTTCAACAACCACCACAAAATAGTATCCTAGAGGACACACTGCTTGTAGCCTGCTCTTTCCACCCAGGCTTGGCTGTGAGCCTCTTTCCTTCCTGCTTATCTCCCTTCCCCACAAAGTTGCTCGATGTGGGGGTCGAGGAGGAGGTGGGCCAAGTCCACTCCTGCAGGTGGGCTGAGGGCTATGTGGGGCTAGGCACATAGTGGACTTGTGGCAGGTCAGGCTTGATCTGGGCCCTGGTGGGGACAGGGGAAATGGGAGGAGTCTGGGAGGGGCAGAGAGGGTGGGATGAGGCTGAGGATTGTAGGACAGCAGGAATCTGCAGGAGAGGGTCTATGGCTAAATAAGTTTGGGAAACAATGGATTGAAGACCTCTGAGACTCTCTAGAACCAGAGCCTGAAGGTGAGTCATGCATCTCCAGGAGGAGGCAAAGGCCTGTGAAGCTACTGACTGTTCGATGTGGTACCCTTGTCTGGAGTGGGTCTCCAGGTGCTCTGGGACTGCCAGGGGAGCATTCTGACCAAAGCACACAGGTCTGGCCCAGGCAGCTTTTCCATCTAGCAGGTATCCCTGCCCAACAGAGCTGCCTATCAGTAACCTTAAGCTTGAGTTCTCAATTGCCTGGAAGAGAAGGAGGTGGAGTTGTTTGTCCAGAATGTGGAACAGGCCGTGGTGACGTCACTTCCAGGAGGCAGTGGCTGTGATGACTGCAGTGGGCAGGTGGACCTGGGCCTTGGGGAGGCAGACCTGCCCCAGCAGGACCGTTGGCCCAGGGGAGGCCTATGCCCTCTTCCTTCTCTTTCTCTCCACCCTGCCCTTGCTGTTGTGGGGGCAGGAACTGCACGTCCCTATCTTCCAAATGGAAAGAATAGGGTGTAAGGAGCCGGGAGCAGTGGCTCACACATGTAATCCCAGCACTTTGGGAGGCTGAGGCGGGAGGATCGCTTGAGTCCAGGAGTTTGAGGCCAGCCTGGGCAACATAGGGAGACTTTGTTTCTACAAAAAATAAACAAAATTGGCCAGGCTTAGTGGCATGCACCTGTAGTCTCAGCTTCTTGGGAGGCTGAGGTGGGAGGATCATCTGAGCCTGGGAGGCGGAGGTTTCCATGAGCTGTGATTGTGCCACTGCACTATAGCCTGAGTAGCAGAGTGAGACCCTGTGTCAAGAAAAAAAAAAAGAATAGGTTGGAAGGGCCCCTTCCAACTGGGAAACAGGCTGCCTCTCTTTCTCTCCTCATGCCTGGCAGACAGGAGAGTGAGGAGCACAGCTGTGGAGTCAGCACCTCTGGGAGTGAATCTCAGCTCTTATGACAAGCTTGTGTGTGCATGGGCAAGTCCCTTGAGCTCTCTGAACCTCTGCTTTCCTTACCTGTAAGGTGGTGGTGAGGACCATGCCTGCCTTCTCATAGCGTTGTTGTGGGGATCATATTATATGTGAACACCCACCCACCCACCAGGGTGCCTGGTAGATCACAGCTGCCTAGAATTCATGCCTGTAATTCCACAGCTTTGGGAGGCTGAGGTGGGAGGATTGCTGGAGCCCACGAGTTTGAGTCCAGCCTGGACAACATAGTGAGACCGTCTCTACACAAAAAATTATTTTTAATTAGCTGGACATTGTGGTGTGCACCTGTGGTCTTAGCTGCTCGGAAGGCTGAGATAGGAAGGTTGCTTGAGCCCAGGAGATCGAGGCCGCAGTGAGCCGTGATGACGCCATTGCACTTTAGCCTGGGCAACACAGCAAGACCCTGTCTCAAAAAAAAAAATACAAATACAAATAAAGGAAAAGAAAAGGAAAATCAAAGCCAGTATTATCCTTTGTTTTTGTTATTTTTGTGTAGTCCATAGCTAGACAGGCTGCTGGCCCAAACATGAGCCACCTTTTGTTTTCTTTCTGTAATTTCTCAAGTGGTAGGCCAGGGAGGTGGTGGTGTCTCTGTTTGGAATGTGTGGCTGTGGAGGCTGGGAGAGAAGGCAGTTTACCCGCAAGGGTAGGACCTGCTGTGGAGTCCTGGGCTCCTTGGACCACCTGTGCCAGAGGTGGGGCTGAGGACAGCCCAGGGGCACTGAGAAGTGCAGCTTCCTTGCTCCACCTCCACTATCTGCTTTTTTGATCCTTTTTTGGTTGCTGAGCTTTGGTTTCAGAGAAACAGTGGCCCGGAGTGCTGGTTCCTGTTTTCATGGCCCGG